GGAACTGCCCCACAGAGTCTCCAAGGCTGTCAATCTTTACAGAAGCTAACTGTGTCATTTTTCTTCCATGGAGCAGCTGGTGGATTCAAACCACTGACCTTTTGGTAAGGAGCCCAGTGCTTTAACCACTGTGCCACCAGAGCTTCTTTTCAGGCTATTATAAGACCCCACACAATTACCATTAATTGCTTGGTCTCATCTCATGCCACTCCTGCGGTCCCAGGCTGTGGGCTAAGGTTCACTTAGGCGTGAAACAGACACATGGGTGCCTGCAGGTGTTTCACGTTTTGGGGGAGGTAGTGAACCTCGACCTGCTGGAGAGCACCATGGCCTCTTCAAAGTAAATGAATGCCGGCTCGCCTAATCACAGTCTTGGTAACATGCAAAATTGCAGTTTAATAGAGAACAGGTTCATGTCCAGGTTCGTACTGGGCACACTGCCAGAGTCCACTTGTGATCACCATGTGGACAGTGCAGGTTGGGAGCATCCCGTTCGTGGCAGAAAGCTGCACTAGTGCAGCATCTCTGTCTTTTGGAATTCTGTGAAAGGAACTGAGAACAAGGCAAGGCCAGTAGATTCTGAATTGCTTAAATGATTCAGATGAATAGCAGGCTATCCAATAAAAGCACCATTTTGATTGTTTTTGTACAAGGAGCATGTTAGTTGTTTTTAAGTCAAGTTGTAAAGAGTAAGCATTTCTGCAGTCTTCTGTCTTCATGGTTTTAAACAAATGTGGGAACGGAATTTGAATTCTTTCTATAGAGTAATTGCCATGTATTTGTTTAATCACTCAGGCAGCAGGTACTGTCTGCGCATGGCTTAGCGTTCCATGTTATGCTCAGAATACTCTGTGGTCGCAGGAAGGCAAATAGATTAACACCCTGAGATTACAAAGGAGGTGACTGAGCTGGTGACTAAATCATTCATTTACTCATTCATTTGTTCATTGGATATTTATCAGATGTAGCCTTTGATGTCTGCCCTCTCTAGGAGCAGCGCTAGTGTGGATTGTTGTACTGGACCGTTGCAGCATTCTGCTGAGATCGGTATTCTTCCTGTTTTACAGATGAAGAAATGTGCATAAAAAGACTTTTTACAAATTAAATTAGTTAGTAAATGGTATACTCAGAATTCAGTCTTCAAGTCTCTGAGCCCAGATACCTTCTGGCTGAGTGAGGAGTGTTTTTGCAACTCAGAGACCTACATGGTTGAGTTTTGAAGGAAACCTGGCTTGTCTGTTTAGAGCTAGGTGTACTGTGTGAGCCGCCGGGCGAGTACCCCCTTATCGCTTGTGTTTCAGATGTGGCCTTCCTGTGTAGAAGCAGGAGCAATCACAAGTGTCTGCAGGGATTGTCAGGGCCACATTGTCGAAGCTGCAGGAGTTTGTATGTAGAACCTGTGTGAAGCCTTGTGTAAAGCAAAGCCTTTACTTTGAATGCTCAAGCTAATGTTTAATTACTGTTAATAAGTTTATAAGCTCGGGGGCGGGGGGCCTCAGGAGGCTGTTTCCTGTTGAGTTGCCAGTTTTATCACTTTGTGCAATCTTTAGAAAATTTAGTTTTGACCTGGATTGGAGAATGTGGCCCTATCAGAGGCTTATGGTTGGTATCTGTTTTTCTAAGTTGTAAAGACATCAATACTTTGTGATTTGACATATCGTTTGATGGGTTTGATAGCTCAAACGTGGTGTTTAGCTGTGCACGGGGTAGAAAATGTACCATTCTCAAGAAACTCATAAAAACCAGTGTACAGACATCTTATAAGACTTCAAAGACGTTTGTTTTATGTCAGCTTCTTTTTGATACAATTATAGTAATTTTCCAGAATTACTTCAGAATTGTTTTTATTCAAGATACAATATTCCTCTTAGATTAATTTCTGTCCTGCTTTGCAGAGTAAGGATTTGATGTTGGAAAAAGGGTGATGTATTCAGGTTTTGTGGATTTGGGGTGTATGTGTGTGTGTTTGAGAAATTGTTAGTAGTTGTGCATATGAGATAAAAGGTTACACATTTAAGATGGAAATGTCATAAAATAAGAGCAAATTGTAATTGTAATTACCCGTTGTGCCACAATTCAAGGGTAACTATCAGTACAGGATAACCGTTTAAGAGGCGGATGCCTTTATTTGGCCATTCTGTCAATCAGTTTATTCATACTTGAGATTTTACAAGTGAGCTCTGGTGGTGTAGCGGTCAAGGCATTTGGCTACTAGCCAGAAGGGTTGCTGGTCAATCCTTCCTGCTGCTCCATGGGAGAAAGATGAGATGATCTGCTTCCATAAAGATTTACAGCCTTGGAGACTCACTTCTGTGTCCTGTGGGGTCGCTGTGAGTAAGAATCAACTCAATGGCAATGGGTTTTGTTCTGTGGCTTTTTTTTTTTAAGTTTTTAAAGCGTTATTTTCATTCCACTGTAACTTGCTTTATAATTTAATTATTTGTCCTATGTCTATTTGGGAGCTCTCGTGGTGCAGTGCCTAAGACATTTGACTGCTAACCAGAAGGCTGATGGTTCAAACCCACCAGCCGCTCCTCGGAAGGAAGGCTGGGCAATCTACTTCGTAGAGATACTGCCTCGGAAACCCAAGGAGGAGTCACTATTTAAATGATCTTCTTCAACATGTGCCATAATTTATTGAAATGATTACTGTTTTTGTTCTTTATTTTTGCTGTTTATAATGGTGCTGCAGTGAACGGTTGCTCTGGGCATGAGCCCTTCCAGGCCTCGGGTTATGTGCTGAGAGTAAATCCTGAGAAATGAAAGTTGCAAATGGCAGATTGTGACCTCCAGTCAGGCGTTTTCTACGCTTTGCCCAGTATGCATTTAGATGTTTTAGACCCAGCCTTTCCCCATGAGTTGCCACCTTTGCTTTGCCTTTAGAGTTTGAAGACGGGGATCTGGAGTCCTGGATCACCAGGGAGAGGTTTCAGAACTATCTCACCATCGACGGCTTCCTCTTGTACGAGCTTGGAGATACAGGTATGGTCATGTACAGCTCCCCATCACACAGCAGAGATGTTTCCTGATTGAGCGCTTCAGTCTGATCGGTAGGAAATTGCATTTTCAGCTCTATTTCAAAAATTGATTCCTTATTTTAGGCCCGTCTGCCATATCTGTTTTTTGGGACTATAAATGAATATTACCAAAGAACATAAGTTAAAATACCACTTGTAACCTTTTCGGATCTGCTTTTACTTGTGAGGGAAGAGATGAGAAACTGGCAGTTTCTTAAAGTTGTAGGACTGGAAATGGCACACAGAGCAGATACGCACACGGATGAAGAAATGGAAGCTGTGAGACGCTCGCTGCGTGGCGCTGGGTGCCGTGTAGGGGGAACTGGTGTCTGAACGTATAGTGAACTGAATGAGAAGCATGCTTCCGTTTTTCCTTTCACGACACTGTGACGTGTGGCTGGAGGCATGGCTTTAGCGTGACAGTGCAGGGGAGGTTTTCTTTGCCTGGACGTGAGTTAATTCGTGTTCATCCGTCAGACTCGGGGCGGATACCACTTCCTGACCCCTCAGAGTCCCCTGGTCCCTCGGTAATGCGCTCCTGCAGCACCTTGTTCCCTTCTGCTCCTCTGACCTGAAACTGGGTCAGATTTGATTTGTGTGACCATTTTGGTTCCTGTGTATCTCCCAGCTCGTCTGTGAGCCCCCCAAGGGCAGAGTTGTGTCTGGGTGTACTCATCAATGTGTCTTCTGTAACTCGCCCAGTATGTGGCGCTCGGTGATTGTGACATTAGTATGTGACCAACTGCCTGAGTGACTTGTAACCCTGGTGGCTGCTGGGAAGGTACTCTGTGTGTCATAGGCATTTTGAAAGTGACTCATGAGGCATTTGAAATGGAAGAAACGCATAGAAACTGAATAGTAAATGAAAGAACATTGTAAAAGGAAAATGATCATTGTGAACTAGTGTTTTCAGAGTTAGAAGACTTGAGCTTGTGCAGAACTTAGAGTAGTCGGTATCATCTTAGGGGAAGTGGCATTACAATGAGGGTGATACTAGAAGGTCTTGCATGAAACCTCCCTTCTTGTGCCTGCTCTAAGCCAGAGACTGTTGGAGCACTTCAGTGCATGTGATCTCGCTCAGAGTAGACTGTCAGTGAAGACGTGGCAGAGCTGCAGTGAGACGGACGAAGTGGCTGCAACCCTGCAGAGACCTCGAGGCTGGCTCAGGACGGGGCAGGGCTGCATCCTGTTGTCGTAGGCCCTGAGGACTCAGGGCCAAGGAACGAGCTCAGGGGCACCTCACAGCAGCTCATACTCCACTTTCCCAGTAACTGAAATCACTGCCACCTCACATCAGTTGATGTTTAGTGTTCTGGTTCCCTAGTGCCGCTCTGACAGGAAATATACCACAAATGGGGTGGCCTTAACAAACAGTTTATGCTTACTATTTGGAGGCTTTAAGTCCAAGTTCAAAAAGCCAGGCTCTAGGGACTGGGTGAAAGCCCCTCAACTTTGAGGTCCAGCTCTGCCTTCTGCTCCCGGCCCATTGGAGCTAGAGGCGTTTCTTCACTCAGACAGCTGCTGGCTGCTGAGGCTGAGAAGCCCCAAGGTTGACAAGTGAAAAGGCAAAGTCTCGATGTTGCCAAACCACATGGCAGGCCATTAACTTAAGTCCATTGTAAGTCCCAAGGTCGGCAGAGCATGGCAGGCTGCTGAGCAACAACATGGCTCCATGCAGGGTCCAGGCGTGCCATAGGCTCGAGACCATTCCCAAAGCTTCTGCTTATATACAGGAAGCAGACCACATCCCCAAAGCAGCTACTCAGCTGCTTGTGGTAGATTCCACCATGGAGTTGATTGCCAGTCTCATCATGGAGAATAACTACCACCAGCTGCCCAGCCACTCAACCAGGCCCAGCCAAGTTGACACAACCTTACCTCTACCACACAGATGTAATAATTCTTTCAGTATATTTGGTAAAGCAACTTAATTCTTTATGGCTTTCATTTTCTACAAAAGATTTGTTTTAATCAATTTATAGATTTTGTAAAAAAAAAAAAATTGAGTATCTAACTCATTACAAATATTTACCCTTATTTACATTTTAGAGGTAGGAGGTAACTTATTATGTGGTATCAACTAACTCATTCATTCTTTTGATAAACATACATTGTACTAGGATGTGTTGATACAATTATTGAGTTTAACTTGTATAGGATAATTGGAATTAAATTCTGGAAACATTCTTTATCAATTGACCATCCACAACAAAAGCGTAACTGGAAAGTTGTATGCGTGCATGTCTGTGAATTTAGCTGTGTCATTCTTAATTCCAGGAAAGCTCGTGGTGATTGCAGTTATTGATGAGAAGAACACATCAATTGAACATACCAGGTACAGGACCTTGAACTCATTTAAGCTTTAGTACCTTGAAATAATTTAAGCTTCAGTGTCATCCAATTTGGACTTTACGTGAGTTCAGATATATTTTATATGGTTTCTTACTTTTCCGGCAATTGTTAGATGGGGAAGCAGATAGTAGAAATGAGTTTTTCAAGAGAAGAGATGAACTGTTTGTATATTTATTCTGTGCAGGTTAAAGTCAATTATTCAGGAAGTTGCCCAGGATTATAGAACCCACTTCCGTAGGTAGGTGCTTGGATTCTGAAAGAGTCCTTTGTTTAATTATGCTTTGTAATGTAATAAAGCAGCATTAGTAATATTTTTAACTATCAAAGGTGAATCAAAGAATGGAAATAAATATAGCATTTGTGTAATATTTGTAGTGTTTAAATGCTGGGTAAGCCTTAAACTTCCATTCTTTGTACTTATTGCCCTTTTTTTTTTTTTTTTTGTATTTAATCTCTCTCTCTTTTTGTTATTGGTTAGGGATTTTCACTTCGGCCATATGGATGGAAATGAATATATCAATAGCTTACTGATGGAGTAAGTAAACTTGCTAAATGATTTTGTTAGCAATTCTTAAATTTCTTTGAGACACAGGAGGCCTAATAGCTAGAAAACAAAGAAAAATTTAATATATTCTGATGCAGATGTTCTATCATTAAATGTCTTACTTTAGTTTTTAAATTCTATGTTCAGAACTTACTGGATTTTAATATTGTTCTATACTAAAAAACAAATTGTTTCTTGATTCAATGTTATGTAGTAGAAAACTTGATCAAAACAGTAAAAATGTGGAATGCAGTTAAAACAGTTTTGAGAGGGAAATTTATAGCACTGAAGGCTTACATTAAAATCAGAAAAGTTTTGAAATAGAAAATCTAAGGCTTACTGAAAGCAATCAGAACAAGAAGAACAAAATAAAGCCTAAATAAGCAGAAGGAAATAAAGATAGTAATAAGAAAAAAAAATCAGTGAAATAGAAAATAAGAAAATGGAACAGTGAAACAAAAGAGCTAATTTTTCCAGAAAATCAAGGTAATTGATAAGCCTCTAGCAAAGCTGACAGAGATACAAGACAAAAGTCCTATACAACAGGAAGAAATGGGCTCACTGTAGGTCTTGTAGCCGTTGAAACCAGATGAGGAAACACTGGAACAACTTTATAGTCACGAACTTGACAACACTCAAAGAAAATGAAGCAATTCCTTGAAAACAGTAGACTGTCAGAAAGCTAAGTGACATAAACAACCTTGTGTTAGTTCCAGGGTTTCCAGTGGTTCTCAGTGGGGAGAGCAGGGAGAGTGCTGTCTGTGCCATGCTGTCCAGAAACCCAACCTTTATTTTCCTAAAAAGGTCCCCCCCAAAAAATAATTGTATCAGCACAGTTGATCTGGTTCCATTTCTACTCTGGCACCAGTGCCATGCTTTTTCGTTACCATATGTTTCTAGCCTGTCTTGTATTTCATTCAAAACCTCCACAAGTGAGACCCAGTCTTTGTGTTTTAACAAGCTCTCCGTGTGATTCAGTCCTTGTAGGCAGGGAGTGCAAACGAGAAATTGCTAAGTAAAGGAAAATGTCTACTCACCCTCACTGTAGCCACTTGATTATTCCTAGAAGTGACTGAGCACATGGTCACCAACAACAAATGCAGGAAGTTTTGCTAGCCCACAAGCATAGCTGTAAGTTGCCGATGAGTGAGCTGTGCCATCCCTATCTAACTATGGTGTCTGAAGTCCACGCATTATAGCAAATGCTCTCAAAGGAGGCAGACACTGGCACAGGCTCCAATGTGGTTTAAATTATTCTTATATTATTTTAATTTGCACAAGTAACTTTTAATTTTTTATGCTTAGATTATATACAGCTATAAAAACAGATTTTATAAATAAAATATAAACGTAAGTCTACACAATCAAAAACATTCAAATTCATTTACATTTAACATGAAAGATGATATAGTATTGCTGCTTTTAGTGGTAATATAAGGAAAGTTCTTAATGTGCACCTGTTTTGGAGCTTGGGATGCCTGTGGTACCTTGTGTATCGTAATGATTCATTTCTCCAACTCCTTTTCAAGTTGCTGCCACAAATCCTTCATTTTGTTCACCTGCCATGATCTGCACTTACTGTGTATTGAGTACACTTCTCTTTTGTGAATCTCTGATAAATTCTTTCACCAACCAAGATTCCAAACACAAGTAAGTAGTAAAATGAGAATGGAAATGAAGATACTTACACACTAGTGTTGTTTACTGCAGCACTAGTTGCACTATTCTGTTCTGAAAATTTGGCCAGTGAAACCCTTATGGACAGCAGCAGAACATTGTCTGATGTAATGCCAGCAGATGAGCCCCTCAGGTTGGAAAGCACTCAGAATATGAGTGCCCAAAGGCTGCCTTCCCAAAAGTACAGTCGACCTTAGTGACTTGGATGGAATAAAGCTGTCAGGACCTTCATTTGCTGATGTGGTGTGACTCAGAATGAGAAGAAACAACTGCAAACATCCATTAATAATCAATGTGGAATGTACTATGAATCAAGGAAAATTAGAAGTCAAAAATAAACTGCTTGAAGATCAGTATAATAGGTGTTAGTGAGCTGATATGGACAGGTATTGACCATTTTGAATCAGGCAGTCCTATAGTCTGGTTTGCTAGAAGTGATAGAGTACAGAGGAATGGTGTCACAGTCATGGTGGAAAAGAGCAACAGAGGAATGGTGTCACAGTCATGGTGGAAAAGAGCATTTCAAGATTTACCCTAAAGTACAACACTGTCAGTGATGGGATAATACCCGTATGCCCACAAGGAAGACCAGTTAACATGACTATCAGTCCAATTTACACACCAAGCACACGTTCCAAATATGAAGATACTGAAGATTTGTACTGCAGTCTATAGTCTGATTTATCATGCAGTGAAGATGCATTGGTAATTACTGGTAATTGGGATTGGGATGTGAAAGTTGGAAACTAAGTAGAAGGATCAGAACTTGCAAAATATGGCCTTGGTGATAGAAACGAAGTGAGAGATTGTATGATAGAATTTTGCAAGACCAGTAGCTTAAAGCATTGCAAATACCTTATTTAAACACTATTAACAACATTAAAAGCAACTGGACACATGGACCTTGCTGGATGGAATTGCACAATAATCAAATTGACTGCATCTGTGAAGAGAGGTGATGGAGAAGCTCAGTATCATCAGCCAGGGGCTGACAGTGGGACAGATCATCAGTGCTCAGTTGTTCAAATTAAAGCTGAAGAAAATTACAACAAGTCCATGACAGCCGAAGTATGACCTTGAGTATATCTCCACCTGAATTTAGAGACAAGACAATTGCAAAAATAGATTTGACCCATTGAACACTAAATGACCAAAGACCAGATGAGTTGTAGGGTGACATCAAGGACATCATACATGTAGAAAGCAAAAGGTCATTAAAAAGAGAGAGGAGGAAAAAAAAAAAAGTCAGACGAGACTCTGAAACTTCTTGAATTTAGAATAGCTAAAGCAAAAGGAAGAAATGATGAAGTAAAAGAGTTGAATGAACAAAAAACCAAACTCACTGCCATCGAGTCAAGCCTGACATGTAGCAAATCCCCATTGGGTTTCCGAGACAGGATCTCTACGGAAGTAGATTGCCCGATCTTCCCTCTGAGGAGTGGCTAGTGGGTTTGAACCCCCAGCCTTCTGGTTAGCAGTCAAATGCTTTAGGCACTATGCCACCAGAATTCTCTAAAGAGTTGAATAGAAGGTTTCAGAGGGTAGCTGCAAAAGACAAAGTATTATAATGAAATATGCAGAGTACTGGAGTTAGAAAACCAAAAGAGAATAGCACTCTGACCATTTCTCATGCTGAAACAACAGAAGGAAAAATTCAAGCCTTGAGTTGCAATATTGAAGGATTTTGTGGGCAAAAAATTGAATGACAACAGGAAGTATCAAAAGAAGTTTCAAAGAATACAGAGTCAGTGGACCAAAATAACAGGCCTGTTTTCAGCTGTTTCAAGAGGAAGCATATGATCAAGAACCACTGGAACTGAAGGAAGAAGTCCAAGATACAGTACAGGAATTGGCAAAAAACAAGGCTCCCAGGAATTGACAGAATAATACCAATTGAGATGTTTCAGTAAGCAAATTCAACGCTGGAAGTGTTCATAAGTCTATGCCAAGAAGTTTGTGTAGGAGAGATCCATATTCAAGCCCATTCCAAAGAAACATGATTGGACAGAATGCAGAAATAATCAAACATTATCATTAATGCTGTATGTAAGTGAAATTATGCTGAAGATAATTTAAAAACAGTTGCAGCAACACATTAGCAGGGAACTTCCAGAAATTCAAGCCGGATTCAGAAGAGGACATGGGATAAGGGATATCGTTGCTGTGTCAGATAGATCTAGGCTGAAAGCAGAGAATTCCAGAAATAATGTTTTCCTGTATTTTATTGACTCTTCAAAGACATTCAACTGTGTGGATCATACAAAAGTATGGCTAACATTGTGAAGAATGGGAGTTCCAGACCAGTTAATTGTGCTCGTAAGGAACCTGTGTGTAGACCAAGAGGTAGTTGTTCAAAGAGAATCAGGGGATACTATGTGTTTAAAATAAGGAAGGGTGTGCCTCAGGGTTCTGTCTTTTCACCACACTTTCTCAGTCTATGCTGAGCAGATAATCCAAGAAGTTGCACTATATGAAGAAGAACATGGCATCAGGATTGGAGGAAGACTCACTAACAACCTATGATATGCAGATGACACCACCTTTTTTGCTGAAAGCAAAGAGGGCTTGAAGGACTTACTGATGAAAATCAAAAACTACAGCCTTCAGTGTGGATTATACCTCAACATAAAACCAGAATCCTCACAACTAGACCAATAAGCAACATCATGATAAATGAAGGAAGTTGTCAAGGATTTCATTGCACTTGGATCCACAATCAGCGCCCATGGAAGCAGGAATCAAGACATCAGATAACATATTTCATTGGGAAAATCTGCTACAAAAGACCTCTTTAAAGTGTTAAGAAGCAAAAATGTTACCTTGAGGATTAAGGCATAGCAAGGATTGTGCTGATGACACGATACCAAGCATTGTTTCCTTCTGTTGCACATAGGGTGGCTATAGGTTGGAACTGAGACGAGGGCACCGAACAGCAACAGTATTCACAGTTGGCAAAAGGTGGAAACAGGATAAATGTCCATCAGCAGGTGAACTGATGAACAATATGTGGCACATATATTATGATGATCGTGATTACCATTGGCAGTGAACGTTACTCAGCCATAAAGAGGAATGAAGTCCTGATGCGTGCCACAGTATGGATGAACCCAGAGAGCTGTGCTGAGTGAAACACATCAGTCACAAAGGACAGTTATTATATGGTCCACCTACATGGAATACCTAGAATAGGAAAAATGTTGTTGTTGTTGTTGTTATGTTCCGTCCAGTTGGACCCAACTCGTAGCAACCCCTCCTTGAGTTTCCGAGGCAGCATCACTACGGAAGTAGATTGCCTCATCTTCTTCCGAGGAGTGGCTGGTGGGTTTGAACCACCAGCCTTCTGGTTAGCAGTCTAATGCCTTTAGGCACTATGCCACCAGAGCTCCTAATAGAAAAGAGAGAGAGAGCAAAGTTTATCAGTGACTACCACAGGCAGATGGGAGAAGGAGTGTCATTGCTTAGAGGCCACTGACTGAGCTTTTGTTAAAGGGGATGAAAAAATGTGGAAATGGATAATATTGATGGTCTAACAGCATGATGAACTTGAGTGGTACATATGGTACATGTAAAAAATGTCAAGTGGCCGATGTTCTGTTAGATATGCATTTACCACAGTAAGGAAAAAAATTTAGCAATGCGTATGTTAGTGTTGTTCTGAATACATTTACTGAATATATGGTTCTTGATGTTTCAGATCAGCTATGTGGATTGTGGCCGTTACTTTGAGGAGTAAGGATGATCTGACTTTTGATAAAGTGCACACTTCATATAGGATGTGGCATTTGATGAGGAGGGTAGAGAAAGCTTTTCTCCAACTCCGGTGTCAGTAGACTTTCATGTGGGGAGTCTAAAAGTAGGGATATGAGTCATAGAGCAACACACAGTTACCAAAGATTGAGCAGGAAAGTAACTGGTTTGCTGCTACTCTACGATATCTATACAAATATCTATCTTCAATAAAAAAAATCTAGATATTGTTTAACTATAAATTTTAAATTCAGTTGTGCGATAATGTTAACCGTTGAATTGCACAAAATTAAAAGTACTGACAGTTTACTTAAAACCTGTAACCAGTGGTGATATTTAATGTGATCTTTTAATAACCTGTCAGGTGGTAGGTGCTTAAAATATATATTTATTTTTAAAAATAATTGCCTTTCATGCAATATAATTTTAACTAAAAACAAGTAGGATGATACATATTTAAAAACTCTTGTAATTTCAGAGTACCAGTATTTAGAAGATAATATATTTACTGGCAAACCAATGGGAATATATTTAAGAGGGAATGTGTTAGGTGGAAAACTGGAAAGTGTAAGCCGAGCCTTTTAAAGAATGTATATTATGGGCAAGAGTATTCTGACAAGTGGTTTGACTAGATCGTAGTATTGATTCTGTTCAGTTTTCACACTGTGGTCATCAGAACGGCCCCCCAAAGCTATCCATGCTCCAATTCCCAGAATTTTTGATTATTTTACATTACAAGGCAAAAGGCAGTTTACAAATGAATTGTTTCTGGACCCTAAAATAGGAAGATTATCTCAGATGTCCACTACCTGTTTGTCATCTTAACTTCCTGTGGTGGCTCACCTTTGCTTTGATGCTGGAAGCTACGCCACCAGTATTTCAATTACTAGTAGGGTCACCCATAGTGCACAGGTTTCAGACTAAGACGAGCTGGGAAAAAATGAATTGGAAGTGAGGCCTGGCGATCTCCTTCCAAAAATTGGCTGGTGGGAACATTGTGCACGACAGCGTAATGTCCTCAGGAGGGACCGGTCACTGGAGGAGGCCATCATGCTTGGGGAAGTAGAGGGCCAGCCAAGGGGAGGGGACCCATAAGAGAGGTGGGTTGGCCTGGGAGCCGCAGTGGTCATAAGGATGGCACAGGACCAGGTGATATTTTTGTTCATAAGGGTGCCTTGAGTCGGAGTTGTCTCGAAGGCAGCTGTGTGTCCTGGATTAGCCATGGGGAGGACGGGGGTTCGTTCTAATTGCATGAGGTCTTAAAAGCAGAGAAGTGGTATGATGAAAGGGTAAGTCTGAGGTCAGGGGCATGAGAAGGACTCCATTGAGGGCTGCTGGCTCTGAAGATGCTGGGTTTCAGGAGCAGGGAACCATGTAGCCTGGAGGAGCTGAGAACTCCTTCCCAGCCAGCAGCCAAAAGCCAGCAGCCAGCACCCAGCATGGAAATGGGACCCAGGTCTTACAGCTGCATCGTCTACAGAATGAGCCCGGAAGTGGGTGCTTTCCTAGACCTCCAGGAAGGAGCACACCCCTCTACCAGCTGACTAGGTGGCAACACTCCTTTTTACCAGCCAACCCATCACCAACTATGCTCTGCCCTCTGACCAAGAGTGTTTGTTTTGTGAGAGAGAGAGAGAGGCATGTAGTCAAGATTATGTCACGATAACTGACAGACCGTGGTAAGCACTTAGCCTGTGACCAGCACTGGACTGAGTGGTCAGTGAGTATTATCTCCTCTGATTTTGACAGATACTCTGTGAGCTGTAAGTACTATTGCTGTCTCCATTTTACATAGATGAGGAAGTTGACATTTCTTAGAAGAAGCTCAAGGATGTTAAATAATATGCCCAAGGCTGCACATGGAAGTTGAAGTAGCCCCTCCGCAGGTTCATGCCTCCACTCTAGAGCTCTTACCTGCTGGGACATTAATAGTGGCAGAAAAGTTAGTGACTGTGGACAGCTGTTGGCACACAGGATACTTTTAACTTAAGGCCAGTATCTGATATTATAAGATAAAATTACAGCATTGGATGTGGTTTTTACTTTTTTCTCAAGGTAGATGGGGTCCTGTCAGATCTATGGCCTGTTCAATTATTTTGCATTGGGAGCTCTGGTAGCATAGTACCTAAGGCACTTGACTGCTAACCAGAAGGCTGGCGGTTCAAACCCAGCAGCCACTCCTCGGAAGGAAGATGGGGCAGTCTACTTCCGCAGTGTGATACTGCCTCGGAAACCCAAGGAGGGGTTGCTCTGAGTCGGGGTCGACTTGGCGTCACATAACAACAACAGCAGAACAACAATGAAGACAGTGGGGGGCTGCTGTTTCTCCTTCATACTGAATTCTTTCAAAACAAACAGTTTCAATTGTGTATTGTATTTATCTTTTCATAAAAGGTATTATTAAAGATAAAAATCTCCAAAAATTTACATATATATATATATATATATATATTTAAAAAATTATCAAAACCAAAATAAGGATTACAGAGCAGTGAAACAGTGGTTAGGTGCCCAACTGCTAACCAAAAGGTCAGCCGTTTGAACCCACCCAATTGCTCTGTGGGAGGAAGACCTGTTAGTCTGCTAGAAAGATGACAGCCAAGAAAACCCTGTGGGGTGGTTGTCCTCTCTCACATGGGGTCCGATGGGTCAGAATTGACTGAAAGGCACAAAGCCACAATATGGTGATATAAATTGTTTGCACTGTAAAGTTTTATACTTCTTAAATATTGCTTTCATACAGACATAGAATACCCACAATATGCTTGTGACAGAGGGAATTAAGTACCTTCCTTCTATGGTTATACAAAGCCCCCTGAAGGAAAAAATAAAATAACATTTTAAACCACTATATGGCACACATTGGTAATGCTGTATCATTTTCTAGTCTGCAGACAGAGTTATCAGTTACCGTCTGGTGTGTCACGGAAGCACTGCCAGGGATGGGCCGGAGATGCAGTGAGAGTCAGAAAACTTGTGTTATGTACTGTGCTAAATGTCTCCCTTGAACTTTCTTATTTAATTTGTGTAGCAAAGCAGGTACTGTTGCCTTGCCCTCCCCCCGTAAACCAAGCCTGGGTTACTTGCCTGGCACCCTTGATTTCCCAAGCACTTTGATTCCAGTGACAGTGCTCCTGCCCAGTTAGTCGAGTACCGTTTCCCAAGGTGACTAGCTGGATGTGGCTAACACTGACCAGCACTGATGGTAGTTAGAGGAGTTTGTGCCAAGGAACACTGTTGCCCAGGAATTGATAACTTCATGCATAACAATTTCAGCCTCCCTTTAATAGTGATTGCTCAGCTTTCTCTATTAAGGACAACTCAAGGACTTTTAAGTTGATGTGAAATCGGACATTTCTTCCTGTGGGCAAAGGGCGGCAGAGCTTTGGTGTTTCTTTTTGTAACTACGGGGACTGAACTACCATACAAGTTACTAGCAGAGTTACTTGTTAGTGCTGTGGTACGTGTTGTGATTCCTTCACCTTTATGTTTTTCAGTGAACTGACGGTCCCGACTGTAGTGGTTCTGAATACTTCAAACCAACAGTACTTTTTACTGGATAGACAAGTCACGGATGCCAAAGACATGGTCCAGTTCATCGATGCCATTTTGAATGGTACAGTAGAAGTAAGTTCTCTGCTTCTGTCCCACAGGGATGGTGGTGAGGGGTAGAGGAGAAGACAAGTGTCTGTCCCAGCTCGTGGTTCTGGAAGCTGCCCTGCGTCATCACCTGGGCAAGGGGTGGGGCAGACTTTTTACCTGGCTTCTCTCCTGGTTCAGGCAGTCCCCCCAACGTGGAGGACAGGGGAGGTTCTGTTATGGCAGAAGCAGCTCATGGGTAGAAATGCCCCTTTTGGGATCATTTGAAGGGTGTTTTTGGTTGCACAGATATTGGGAAGTGTTTTTGGCATTTAAGTTTAGGGAGCCAGGGATGCGAAGAGTATGTGGGACTCCTATACAGTGTGTGGGATGATAAAATGACTGCCATGGTTAGTTCTACTCTGTCCTATGGGGAAAACTGCCCATGGCATTTCTGAGGCTGTAAATCTGTATGGAAGCAGGCTGCCTCATCTTTCTCCTTGGGAACAGATGGTGAGTTTGAACCGTTAACCTCTTGATTAGCAGCCAAATGCTTTGACCACTGTGCAACCAGAGCTCCTGTGGGACAGCAGCAGTGATGAATTTTCCTGGTTGTTAGTGCCTTTCTGGCCCAAGAGTACGAATGGATTCAGTTTTCAGGACACAGTTTCTTCAAAGATGAAGAAATGTATTGAGAAGCAGAGCCCCAGGAAAAGTTTTCAGTATAGTCCTCTAAAATATTTCTCAGAAATAAGAAGACTGCATGCTACTGATTTCCTGTAAGGCTTAGTCTAGTGCTTTTCCAAACTGGCTCCAAAATAGGAACCACATTAAGAGGCATGTGATACCATGAGCAGGTCACAAGCCACATGCATACTAATTTGGTAGAATAAAGTAGAAAATACGAGACTTCACTGCTTTTGTCCAGTTTGATGATTACTTTGTGAAACTTGCTTCTTCTCTACGCAAACTTTATTTGAAAGTTGGCTCAGCTGCGGCAAGTATTTCTACTTTGGGTCATGGTTAAGAAGTTTGAAAATATTCTTGATCACATTTTACGACTTTTCTATTTGTTGAAATAGTAATTTTGTTCACATGAAACTCACCTCTGTTTGTGAGTTTGTGAAACTTGACTTACTGTTTAATGTCAGAGATTTTGTTCACTCATGCAGCTTGCAAAGTCAAGTGTGATTGTCTTCAGAGGTGCTAGAGGCACAAATTGGATTGCTTTCCATCAGGATTTTCCTCTCTGCCTTCCGTTCCTCTTGGTGAGCTTCATCCTCAGGTGATACTCCCTGCACAGGAGTGAAGGTGTTCCAGCCACGCCCCTACCTGGGCGGCCCAGGAATGGGAGTGAAGGTGTCCCAGCCACACCCCCACCTGGACGTGCCCGGCATGGTGCCACAAGCGTCTTCTGTAGTCACCTTTGACCTGCTGGTGTTGATTACACCTAGAAAGAGGAAGGAATGGGACTTAAGTAACAGCTTTTTTTTTTTTTTTTCTGTTAAATTTAAGGCCCAAGGAGGTGATAGCATTTTGCAGAGATTGAAAAGAATAATGTTTGATGCCAAAACTACTGTTGTGGTAAGTTGTGACAGTTTGCTTACTGTCATTTAGAAATAAGAATATTAGGTTCTTTCTGTCTAGTCGTGGTAAAACTCACTGCTGTTAAGTCATTTTGACTCATAGTGACCCCTCCTTGGGTTTCTGAGGTGGTATCATTATCGAAGTAAATTGCCTAATCTTCCTTCTGAGGAATGGCTGGTGTATTTGAACTGTCAGCCTTCTGGTTAGCAGTCAGATGCCTTAGGCACTATACCACCAGGTCTGGCATTTTATAAGATTAGTAAAAGTACGTCTAGTTAATTTGCCGCTCACTTGCTAGTCAGTATTTGTATTAAGAAAATACGTTCCTTAGGTGGAAAGTGAGCACTGTCTCTCAGGAAACAGCTCAATGTGGTCACCATCTTGAAAAGGGCCGTGTAATTAATGGGAGAAAAATAGTCCCTCTCTAAAATATTAGAGGGTTTTCGTGGTGTTCCTTGGCTGCCAGTAGCTGGTTACACACACCCGAACACACACACAATTTGTGTCTCTTCTAGTGTCTCAGTTATGCAGAAATGTTGACATGAATTAGTTCATTGGAACTGAAGGCCACGTTTTATTGTGCCCGTGGTTTATTTACTTTGAGAACAATGTAGCCAGGAATTTCCTTGCTGTATTTTCCTTCCCCTTGTTTCTTTAGTCGTGTAACTGAGAGATACTAGAAGGGGGAAGAACATATGAAACCTATTGGAAAATACGGTCAGACCTCAGATTTTAGTGTTCTCAGTAGTTATTTCAGTTATTCTAAAACTTAGTGCAGAAGGGAAAAGTTGCATGGCAGTGAGGGGAAGAAGCATAGAGCTTTGAAACTCCTTGGTTCTCTGGCACTAGAGTTGCGTCTGAGGAGCACTGAGCCAGGTCCTCTTTCCACAGTCGATATTCAAGAGCTCGCCACTCATGGGCTGCTTTCTCTTCGGCCTGCCACTGGGTGTCATCAGCGTCATGTGCTATGGGATCTACTCAGCAGACACGGACGGAGGGTACATCGAGGAACAGTATGAACTGTCCAAGAGTGAAATGGAAAGTCCAGACCAGATGGAGGAAAACAGAGACCAGCAGGAGCCCAGTGATGGGGACTCTGCAGAGCCCCCAATGCATGAACCCAAAGATGCTTTAGAAAAGAAGAAGGATTGAGAGCTCTGTATAAAATGTCCATAGGATTGCAGATTATTCAATTTGCAATTGAATTTATTCTATTTATTGAATTTAGATGTTTAATCAGAAGGGAACATGTGTTTTGCTAATATCGACTGCATGGATTAAAGGAGTTCTCCCATAAGTGGGGGGTAGGGGGATGTTTGGAGCAGAGAGGTGGGATGCTGGTCTGAAACATGGAGACGGAAACAAGACCCTCCATCCGAGTTTATTTATAGATGTAACCCTACCAGACCAGTTACATTTGCATGTTTCTCTATCTGAGTGTTTGTGTCAAAGTTAAGATTCTTGGGCAGAATATTTAAATTGGCCAATCAGGTAGATAATACATGTTTGACAAAGGAAAATAACATTTCCACCTCCTCCTGTCCATTCACCTCATATATTTTGGATAAGATTTATATGGACAAAATTAAGTCTTTTAAAAAACATAGGCACTTTAAGGAGAACTGATAATTTTTCCACATGTCCAGTTGAAATTATGGAGTTAATAATTTGGTTTTGTATAGCATAGCCATTTTATTTTTCAGTTGTTATTTTTAAAGGAGAGAAAATGTAACTTTTTCACTTTAGCTTTACTTGCATCATTATGAAGTTTTCAGATGGGCCTATGGAGTGGGATGAAAGAGTCCTGTGTTTGATCTTTGCACTGTAAACAGGATGTACTTGGCGCAGTGGCTTCAGACCGCACCTGGGACACAGCAGAGGCCTCAGTGGTCACTGCAGCTTTGGAAGGGCTCGATTTCTCCTCCCCAGCTTTGGCCAGGACACCTTTGTGTTTTGTCTGTTTTGTATATTAGGATTTCTTCTCAAATGTCCTTTGTTGAAAAGCTGCTGCTGCTTTTTAAAAAGTAATATATATCATGTTCCTTATGGTAACTTAAGTTCCTGTGTGTGTGCGTGTGTGTGTGCGTGTGTGTGTATATATATGTATATATAAAATTTATTGACCCTAAGTCCGTTAGGTAGTATTGGTGTATCTGTGTTCATGTGAGTAGTACATTGTCAGTGTGTCGAGCAGTGACACTCATGCCCTGTGAAAAGAGACCTGCCTGCTAAACCCTCTGTCCCCTCGCCATCACTCATGCCAGCCAGTTACCTTCAACTTCTGTCCACAGTGATAAAAGGCAGGAATTCTACCCCAACGAATAATGTCTTACAAGTTAGTAATTTTTCTGGTAACAGTATGTTATGTTTATTGTGGATTAGTTTGTTGTTTTTGAGGCTTTCATTTTAGCTAAGTTTAGAAGTTTCTTAGATGACTGTTTTTTGGTGGTTATTCCGTGAGTCATTGAGTTATCCAGTATGAAAGATTTCATTAAGCATTTAACATTGTTTACTCACTTAAACTATGTCCTTCATGGTCCTGAGACTCAAGTTGTTTGGGGCTCTGGCTCTTTGTGATGCCTTGTTTACCACTCCTAAGCTGAAAGTCTCGTATCTTAAGCACTAAGGAATTACTAGTAATTGTTTTAGGGTAGCCATGTATTCTTATTTTTAGTATTTGAAAATTAAACAGTCGTTCTTAATGTTCGGGACCCCACAGTTACCTTATTGATGAGACAGATGTGCAGTCACAGAGAATTTCTGGACATAGGAGCATAAATGTTCTTCCGTGGAAGCTGGAGGTGCTTGCTGGGAGTTTCGCAGATGCAGTCCTCTCCAGACAGCAGATAGGATGTTGCTGATGGCAGTCTCCCAGGTGGAGCCTTCTCCAGACAGCAGATAGGATGTTGCACATGGGTCACCTGCTTTCTCAGTTGCATGAGTGTGGTTAGAAACTGCCCGTGTCTCATCTGCGACTCGACTCGGCTGGTAGAGACGCGTGTGCTCAGCAGCAGTGAGGTGAGGAAACGTGTTGGCTCCCAGAGATGCTACTGATTTTTCCTTCATGGTTGCCACTCTTCACTGTTAGTCATATGCATGTTTTTGTGTTTGGACTGAATCATTTAAGCATCCCTCGGAATGAAATACCCCCTCTAAGTGATGAGAGACCTCAGGGGGGAAGAGAAAAGTAACGCTGAAGTTGGGCAAAAGAGACAACCAGTGATCTGTGTCTTCTGGGATTCTCTTGTTTCTACATCAGTGCTGCGGTCCTGTTACCCATCCCACACGTCTGTGCTGTTGACTCTGAGTGTATGTGTGCATTTGAAGTGTGCTTCTTGGAAAGCCGGTTTGTAAATAGGAACTTTTCTTTCTTTCTTTTTGTGTTTAGCTTGTCAGACTTCTCACGAAGCCAGTTTTAAATTTGTTCACGAGTATGCCTGTGCTGTCAGTGTGGTATCAGGCCTTCACAGAAAAGCTGTTTTCTGTCAAGACCTCTAGAGCTACTGTACCTCCCTGCTGAATCTTCCTGGGATCGCATCTCAGTCACAGACGTGGCCTTCAGGAAGGCAGAGTGCCACCTGCTCTTTCAGTTGCAAGAGTTGTATTTCCAACTTCTGAAATTAACAGTTGAAGATGCCTGCTGCTGCTGAAGCTGGTCCTCAGTTTATAAAGCCGTTTCCTCCTGTTACCAAGAGGGAAACGGGCTGTTTTCATCAGGCTCTCTGGGCGCTCTGTCATGCCTTACATCCCTTTTAGTTTGCCTCATTGCACACGTCACTATTTCTAAGAGTTTTGTTTGCATTCATTACAGTTTCTCTGGCGAATCTGCTGACCTTGTTTGGGGTATATTGTGGTGTTGTTATGTGCCATGGAGTCAGACCCGACTCATAGCGACCCCTCCTTGGATTCCTGAGGCAGTATCACTACGGAAGTAGATTGCCCAACCTTCCTTCCGAGGAGTGGCTGGTGGGTTTGAACCGCCAGCCTTCTGATTAGCAGTCAAGTGCCTTTGGCACTACGCCACCAGAGCTCCTTTTGGGGTATATTGGGCCCACAATTTTCATTTTCTTCCTCCCACACACTTCTCACTGGTGTCTGATTTTATGGTACCACGAAGATGCCCAAAGTCTGGAGCTTAGGGGAAGGCCGTGTGTCTTGGATCTGTCTGAGTAGGTAAGTTCTTTCAGTTGAGTGGACCTTCTTTGCTTTTCTTATATTTTATTTCAGGGGACTTGTTTTTACAAAAAATAATTGAATTATTTTCATCATGACTTCATATGGTAATGGACATAGGATAGGGAAAAATCATCTTGTTTTTGTTACGCAGAAATTGTTCAAAACCAATGTGAAATGTTAGGACTATCAATTACTTTGTGTGGTTACTTTGCCATTTTATTTATATATGTATATTTGGTTCTGAATGTGAGTCCAAGACTGGGCTTTTTTTTTTTTTTTTCACATTTTGGACTAATCTATACAAAGTTTTTGAAAGTGTATTACTAACTTGTTGAATTCATGATGTCCTGCCTTATGGCACCAATTGTAAACATTTGCTTTTCTAAAATAAATGGACTGAAAACGTGTCATATTTTATTCTTTGTACTGTTTTCCTTTTGATTATTTGTGAAATGAGTAGTATTCTATGCAGAGGGGGACATGCAAGCCTGATCTTCTACAAAGAGTTTTTTCCCTTTTGCTAAGAGGTACATCATTCATAATTATAAAAACAGAATTTTAGAGTCAAGACAGACGTTACAGAGATCTGATTCAAATCTAATCTAGTTGTAAATCAAAAACCTAATATTCATCCCATTGCCGTGGAGTTGGATCCGACTCATAGTGACCCCTTCTTGGGGTTCTGAGATGGTATCACTATGGAAGTAGATCGCCCAGTCTTCCTTCCAAGCAGTGGCTGGTGGGTTTGAATCACCAGCCTTCTGGTTAGCAGTCAGATGCCTTAGGCACTACACTACCAGAGCTCACAGTGACATGTTTTGTATTCAACATATCATGTAAAACCTGATAATGTATAAATACTAATTTTTCCACAAGGGTCTGTCTCTATCACTATGGTGAAAAGAGAGAGCTCCCTCCAAGCAAGGGCTGAGAAGCTATCCTGACCGAGGAAATGAATCCTGAGCTGTTCTATCTGCATTGTACCCTATTCCCTGACAAACCCCATAACTGTGAGTATCGTCTGTGAGCTCTGTTGTGGCCATGGCAACGGATTATCAGACCCAGCAGAGAAGCGGGGAGTGCCGAGGAAGGGAAGTTGGTGTCAGAATTGGTGAGAAGGTTGGAGGGTGGCGGTGCGTCTGACCTCCGCCTGATGGGAATCAGCCTCAGGCTGCTGCTGCTGACCTTGGTTCTCTCTCCTCCCTCTTGAGCACTTGGGTGAGGTCTGATGCCACCACGCCACTTTTTACATTCGTCCTCCCTTTGAAGTTAGAAGGATTGAATTTGAGTCCTTAATCAGCTACCACGTAGTGATCTTGCAAACTGTGACCTCGGCACCCTGCTTTTCCTGTCAGTAGAATGAGAATCTGAAGCCTCTTTTTCCAACCTCCTCTGGGGAAAATTCATTATGAAAAACCAGTGCTTTATACAAATGTTACGTTTTCATTTCTGTTTCATAGTCTTCACCGTGGGCATGCCATGGATGACTCTACCATGCTGTTACATACTCTTCACCGTGGACATCTTTGGGTGACTCTAGCATAGGAATAACACAAATGGATAAGCCAGGCAGTGGCCCCACACAGCTTGTCAATTGCACAGAGGAGCTGGTGAGGACGCCTTTCTGGTAAGAGTTACAGGATTCAGCTGTCGATGAAGTCTGTGTGGGTGAGACGGGCACCCCTGCCCTCTTGAGAGCTGTCTAGCCCTGGGTATGTGAGGCTGCAGTGCCACCTCGCCTGAATCAGTTCTTGCCTGTCACTCACTGCATGGAGCTGGGTGAGAGACATGACTTCTCTGCTCTCGGGCTGCAGCATCTGTAATTTGGGGATGATGCCACCTGTCTCATTGGACTGTGAGGATTAAGGGAGTGACACGTGAGGCCTATTTAGAACAGTGACAGGCCTGGGAAGCTCAGAGAGGCACCATACATTTATCTGATAGTTCTTTTCTCCATTTAGAATTTATGTCACCGT